ATATATAATATTTCTTATTTGAATATGCATAATTTGTTTCGTTTTCGGTTGTGTAATACTTGTCTGATATCGAATGCAACTGGCTAATTAGACTTCTGTAGACTAAACAAAAAGTGGGCCTTACTTGGGTCCTCTTACGTCACCAAGCGACGCGTTTTTCGTCAAGGAATTTTTTTACAAATCTATATGCCCGAAGCCGCTTTGCATACGAGCATCAGATACCAATAAAATATAGTACATGTTGCACGTGGACTAAACATATAGTATCCCTATTTACGTTATCTTAAAATCAACATCAACATACATACATTTATAAAGATTTACGTGGATTGCTGGTTGATCTGTTCGATACTTCGGGCTCACCTGGCTAATTATATTTTCAACTTTAAACTTGATCAAAGTCTGTGTATTGTGTCATGATTTTTGTGTATTGTGCTTAATGGTTATCGTCTATCGCTTATATTTCTTATCGCTGTTGCATTTCACCTAGGTAATTACAAAAACTGCTCAACGGTTGTATCCGTGCTTGTCTTATGGATTAAGTTGCCCACAGCTATTAAATAGTCCTCTGGCCCGTCATACTCCTCTATGGCTTCATCGCTAGCTTCATTCTCAAGGTCCTCCTCCACTCACGCGGTCAGTTCTCCATATTTCTGCTGTCTCCGACTGGAACTGCTGTGATGACTGCTTCCAGTCTTGCGGCGCTTGCGTTTGGCATCGCGTTGGAAGGCCACATTGCCGGGATCATCGGCCAGCTGTGGGTACTTGTGTATGCTATGAATATCAATGCCGATCCAGCCATCGACGTCTCCATGTTGTATGAGCTCCTCTTTTTCCTCTTCTGTCCAGTCGCCACGGCCTTGAAAACCTGCTGCTACCAGTTGTTTCTCCAACTCCCAGGCGCGCTCTACTGCTCGCTTGTGGGCGTGCTTGAGTATGCGATGTCGCTCTTGTTCGGGATCCACTCCATACTTTATTATAACTACAGCTTCGGGTCCATGAAGGCGCAGCTCCTTAGCAGCGCTACCCCCATGATCGCTAATTTCGTGCGTTGATATGTTGAACATGCCGCCAAGGCGACGCAATTCTTCATTGTCATCTCGCAACTTGAGAACGTTGTCCTTGACAAAGTAGAATACATCTTGGTCGTGTATGCTGAAGTGCAGATCTAAGAAGTAGGAGTTATTGAAAACAGAGCTAACTACATCCTGAACGACGCTATTAGAACCATCCACCACGCTGACCAAGGCTCGTCCTCCGATTCTGGATAGCAGAACTCCTTCGCCAAAGACAGCTCGACGATAGCTCACACGGGGCAGCAGATTTCGCATCTTGGGCTCCATCTTGAGCAGTGGCTTGGGGGCAAAATCAAAGTCACTGAACTTTTCGTTAATCTTTTCGACAATGCACTCCAAGCCCGATATAACACCAAAATCTGGTGCCAGGGAATTCGACTTGATCGTGGCCTGTGGGACATATTGCGACAGCTTGGTATATTTATTGCTCTGCATGTTGTTGAGTTCGTAGCCGAAGAGCTGCAGCCAAGCGTCTAGGTCGATCATGTAGTTCTGTGGCTTATTACGGTTGATGGGGTCGTTGTTGTGGTAGCGATAGATAAATACATCTGTGGGGTTTGACATTTCAGTGGCCAGCGTCTCCCAGAGTGGCGTCATCCATTGACCGACAGTTGGATCGTATTGGCGCTGTTCCGTGTAGATCAGTTTTGTGTGAGGATCTATGAGTCCTCCATGGAAATCAATGGGCACAAAGAAGTCGGGCTTGGTGTCCTTGATAGTGCGACCAAATGGCGTGCGCTTCACCTCCTTCATAATACTGCCGTTCATATCGAAGAACGCGAGTGGTGAACCATTTTGATCGGTAGCCACATAGTAACGCAATTCGCCGTTCTCCAGTGCAATCAGCATATCGCGATCATCGTAATAAAACTTCATGGTCTTTCCCAATTTGGGGAAGTGCACGTGAGTAACCAGCTTCGGGGTTTTAGGGTTAGCATAATAGTACTGCGTCACGTTTCCCTTGCTGTCATGCCAGGCTACAAGGCGGCTACGATCATCGTAGTAATACCAGCTTTGGAAACGGTCTCGTTCGAAAGCGTGTATCAGTTGACCTCGGTTATTGTATCTATACTTTTGCTCGCCTCGTCGCACTACAAAGCCCCTGGCATCATAGTTGTTGAATTCGACATCTCCCACCTTAATGACTCTATCGCCAATATCGTAGCCAAGGTTTATTTTCTCACCCTGATCGACAATACCCACGGTGTTGCCGTTCTCGTCGTACAGATACTTCCAGTTGTTTGTGCCTAGAACTTCAATGACATGTCCATCCGCATTGTAGTTAATCTTGTCAAAGGCCGTCGACCTGCCAAAGGTGGTCTTTTGAGACTTTATACGATTACGCAGATCGTAGTCCAGTTCCAAGCGGAACACGTCGAAGCTCTTGATGTTCATTAAAACGCTCTTAGCACGCCCATGTTGATCGTAGTCAACTATGGTAAAGAATTGTTTGGCTGAGTCCTGGATTACGGTCCGGTTAAAGGCGTTGCGAGTAATCTTCAGATCCTGCACTACTTCAAGCTGGCCTAGATTCTGACTGTACTTGTATCGAGTGGTGGGCAGCTCCTTGTCATCAATAGCCATCTCAATACCGCTTAGACGTGCGTTGCCATCGTAGGCATATTTGTAGTGGGCCGAAGCTAGTGAGTTCTTAGATCCAAATCTCAGTTTTTCGTCTTTCAGAATGCCTGCGTGATACTTTAGCTCGCGGCGAAGCTCGAAACCGGGCTCTTGCACTTCAACGGACTTCACCAGACTTGTTGCTTCTTGATAAGTGTAATGGGTACTCGAAAGTCCTGCCAAAATGGTTTCAAGTCGTCCTGCAGCGTCATGTACGAATGCCACTTTGCCAGATTGATGTGGATGTATTTTTGCTAGAATCTGGCCTTCGTCGTTATAAAGGATCTCAAATGGATGTCGATTGATGGGCGAATAATACTGATACTTAAAGAAGCCAAGTGAGGTTTGTAGCGAGAACGAGTGGATATGACCTCTTGGTGTCGTCAAACTTTGTAGAGCGCCAGCATCATCATATTGAAGTAAATAATCTGATCGACGGGGTGTGGTCACTTTAAGCGGTAGTGAGCCAAACATGTCCTTAAAGGTGTAAATCATCGATGACCCATCACCATACTTGATCTCATTTAAGCGCCCGTTGCGGTCGAAGGTATAGGCTTCTTGTAGGACTCCCCATTTCCAGCTGACCAAGCGTCCAAATCGATCGTACTCCAGATCAACATCGGCATAGTCCCCGGATTGAGGGCGGAAGCTGACAGGACGCGAAGTACGATCGTAAGTTACATTAAGAAGCTCTTGTTTGTCATCAACCATGACAACAACGGACTGTGTTTCACGATCGTATTCCAGCGTGAGCACGTTGTCTCCATTGACACGCAGCTTGCGTCCTACTTCAGTGACTGGACGGGGGGCGCCCTTGTTTTGTTTACCCTGCTGCAAAGGCTGTTGGCGTCGCACAAAGTAGCGCCATTCGAATCGATTGGCCAGGTCCCCGGCAATCTCTGTGCGCTGCCTGGCTGGCACTGGGTAGCTTTCGCCTAATAGTGGACTTTGTTCGGCTAAAATCGTATAGGGAACAACTTCTGTTTGCAGATTGTGTCCCCATGGTGTGATGCTCGTTGTCGATCCGTCCATCTCTACCGTAGTACGCGACTCTGCGGCTCCATTCTTAACGATAACGGTAGTGCCTTGAATTAACATTGAGATCTCCTTCTGTGCGTTTTCCGAGACCTTTACTTGGGCTCCCTTCACACTCAAATCGAAGTTGAGTTCAATGACTCTACCAGTTGGTGTTACAGCTGAAGTTAGACGTCCAAACTCATCGTAGTTGTAGACGTAAGAACGTCCAGTGGAGTCAAGCTTTGTTTTTAACAATCCCGTAGGACCATGGTATTCGTAGGTGACATTGTAGTTGTCCGGAGTGCTCAACTCATGCAGCATTTTCATCCGAGTCATGCGGAGCCGACACTTTTGTCCCTTGGTGTTTTCAATCGAATTCACTTGAGAAGTGTAGTCTCGCAGAAGGAAGACTTTGTTGCCGGCTGCATCCGTTACGGTGCTCAGCTTTCCGTTCGATGTGTTAACATTGTAGGTGAATACGTAGGTGGTTTCTCCAGTTAAAATATTACGAGTAGAGACGTGCTGACCAAACCTATTGAAGATGTATATCTCCTGCATATCTGGCGCATAAATCTCGTACTCCCGGGAAGGACTCGCCTCAGGAATGCTGGACATCACAGAGCGTATTCGATAGTTAGCCTGATCGGCAATGTGCACGTGTCCGTCGGGGGTGACAGATAGAGCTGCGATGGTATTGAACTTAGCGCTTGTGGCCAGATAGTGATCAGCCTCGAAGCAATCGCATCCACGCTCTAGACAGTTGCACTTGGACTCAGCTCCCGCAAACGACGCAATTCGACCATCCGTGCCGATAACGCGCACGCGATTGATGCGCTGAGAATCGCTTTCTGCAACAAACAGCTCTCCTAGCGGTCCAAATGCAATGGACTGCGGCATGACCAGAGTAGCATGCGTGGCCAGGTCGGTGTCGTACGCAGTGGTAGCTGTAGCGCAATGTAGTGGGCGTCCGGATATAACGCGCACACGCCCGTCCGGTGTCATCCGTAGAATCATGTGGTCGTCAATGATGTGTAGAGTGTTATCCATTGGCGACACAGCGAGTTCAGTTGGCCAGCGTAAATGCATCTCCTCTAGTTTCAGCGTACCCTCACACGGGATGGGCTTCCAGTGCGACTTGTGCATGTGGTTGCCGATTAGTGTGCTCACGATGCCATCACGGTCCACCATGCGGATGTTGGTACCGTCCGCGAAGTAAAGAATGTTGTCACTTGAGATGGCAATGCCTTTGGGATACGCCAGCTTTGCGTCTTTGGCGAGGGCACCGTCTCCGCAATGCGCCTCATCGCCGGGCAAGCACCGTTCCCCAGAGCCGACGATTGCCTCCCAGTTCTGTTCCGGCTGTGAGTAGTCACTGATGTCGCGCACTCGAATAATTTGGTGAGATTCTGGATCGGACACGTAAAGAGTGCCATCAAGCGGACTCAGAGCCATGTGATACCGATATGAGACGCGTGTGGCGTTCAGCTTAACAACGGTGCGAACGCTACCATCGGTCATTATTCGGCGAATATAGTTGAAGTCGCCAACAAATAGACTTCCATCTGGCGCGGCAGCTAAGGCGACTGGAGCAAGCAGGCGCTGCTTCATAGCCAAGCCATCGCAGTCCTGGCACTCGAGAGGTCGCTGGTGGCCATCGCCCATTGTAGTAAGGATAATGCGAGGCTTGTTGCGCAGATAGATATTGGAGCCGTCGCCCTTCTGAAGAATTCCCTCGTGGAAGTTGTAACGATGGTGGATATCCAGATTCCAGCCGCCGACCTCTGAGATTGACATGTCGTGCCCACTAAGTTTAGTCGTCTGTATGTCCCACACAATGTCCTTGCAGTCGGTATATTGGTAGCCCACTTTGACAACGGCTGTCGTGACGCCATAGACACGTTGTCTATATATGTTTAAGCGGTTCCAAGCATACGTGAATTTGATGCCGGGGTCTGCCTCAAAAACGCGCTCGAACAGGATTCCTTCAATGGTGATTCGCAAGTGAATGAGATGAAGCGAGGCAGGTATCGTATCGGGTGTCAGTTGGAGTTTAATAGTAGATAAATAGCCCGCAGCGCGAGAGGAGTGATAAACTAGATTGAGACCTGTGCCGGGTATTTGCAAGGATTCCTGGATGACCTGCGACTCGGCTAATATGGCACTGCGATCTGGGCAGGCGCCCTGGAAGCCATGCTTCCACGAGGCCAACACAACCGGCTTCATTTGATCATAGTCGTGCGAGAAGCAAGTGTGCGTTGTAGCCATAGCCAGACCCTTCTCCTCGGACATGCTCATAACCATTACGTCGATTATAACGACCTCGTTCCAGGGAACCTGCACAATGCGTGACTGAGGCCGGAACGGAGCGCGTCCGAATTGCAACGTCACGGCTCCTCCACCGTTGACCATTAGATCAAACCATCCGTCATCGCGAGTGAGTGTAAAGCCCTCCAATAGTGTGGTTGTGGATACGCGCACACCCACCAGTCCCATGCCCAGGGAGGTGACAACTCGTCCCCGGATTACTGCTGAACGGCTGTTGGGAAGTAACGAAATGAAACAGTTAGTTGGGCCTTATTTTGGTGTTGAGCTGGAGGTCAACTACAGATACATCTGGCTAACAAGCACATCGAACGTATGATTCGCAACTACTTTAGAAAAGGAAATGATGCGATAAGTACAAATGATAAAAGTTCACACGCACATAACATAAGACTCGTATCAACACATACAAAGGTTTACAATTTGAACAATATAGTATGTATATATGTATATTTTCTGTTGGTATATAGCTTTGTGTATGACCTAGCATTGACCTAAGTACAACAGCTTATATAGCTTATACGTATGTTAAAAATTCAAATATTTTATTGGTTGTCTGGCGAGTCACGTAACGAGTGGGATATGTACGATCCCAGAAGTATGTTGAATTCGAAATAATAATAAAAGAAGAGCTACAAAAATCAGCTTATAAAAGTATTTATATAAACTACGCTATAAAATAAAAGTTAAATTAGTTKTATCTTTGTACTTAAAGTAAATAATAAGGAAAATTATAGTGGAAATTAAATGAGTGTACCAAACAACCATCGAGAATTAGTATTTGTAGTATTTGTAGTATTATTTAATACCGGTTTTTCGCTTGCTTACCTTGCGTTGAAATAATTCCAAAAAATGCTGTTAGTATATGATTTTGATTTTTAGCGAGAGCAACGAGTAGCGAATAGAATTCGTTAGTTACAATACAAAGCATTTGGAATTCGGTTGCGCAAATGTTGGTTTATGTGTTTATTTTGTATGGGAATTAGTATCGAGTAGTAGTAGTATTAGGAGGATCGAGTGGTAGTTAAAGTTTTTAGGTATTTAGTCAACATTATTCGAATTTAGGGCACGCGTGATGAGAAGAAAAAGAGAGCAGAGAGAAAAATATTTGAATTAGCATGGTTGTCGTTGTCTTAACTTTTTTGTTTTTTATTTTTACTAGAATTGATAGTGTTATGAAACCCGAAACAAAATTAGATGTTTGCTTTCGATGACACCGAAATCTTAGCCGAACCCTTCACAAGAAGCCTTGATTTAGTTAGTTGAGAATCAATTAAGAGTCGGAGGATTGATTGGACCTCTGGAAAGAGTATTGTGTAACAAGGGCGAGGTGAACATGATAACATCTCCTTGTGAAAGGTGTACTTAACAGCTAATCTAAGTTATTCATATACCTAAGATCCTTAAGAATAGAAAATAAGCTTATTAGTATACCTTAATGATTTCATTTGATTTGGTTTGTTTAGTTTTACGGTATAGTATAGAACAAAGGACATGTGGGGATTTATTTACAAGGTTTTCAATGGGAATTGGGATTACTTGTGTTCAGCAATGTCTTGCCTTTTTTAATAGGGATTTGTTTTAGACGAGGGCACGATAACGAAAAACATAAATATTTAAACACATAAAAATATTAATTATGCAAACTATTTTGATTAATATTTGATTGGTAGTACATATGAGATTCAGCTAAATATTTTGTAATATACAGGAAACATGGCCCCTCATCGGGCCTCTTGCCAATTCTGGAAACTATACACTTGAACTTTCCCAACAATTTGTCGAATTAAACTAAAAACGGCGGGCGTTAAATTGGCTACAAGGAAGCACCTACCTCTCATTAAATGTCTCCAGCTTAGCATAATTCTGCAGGCTGCTCTCGTCGATCAGAAACTTCATGCGCTCGAAGAACGAGGCCGTTATTGCCGGGGGCTGTTTTCTCAGGAGGACATCGATGGGCTTGGGTGCGGATACACAGAGCTGGGATGTCTTACACACGTGGCTAGCGCAACACTCCGGATCTTCGCAGTCAACCAGGCCATCTGTTGGGTGAGATGTGGTTTCAAAATTGAGTTCCCTACCTCATTCGAACACTAAATGCATACCCTTATCGTTGTCCTTGCTATCGCCGCAGTTGAGCTCCAATGCTATGCCACAGTCTGGTCCGTCCCAGCCTTCGTAGCAGCGGCATTCCCATTGACCCTCGCCGCTCACCCGGCACTGACCGTGGCCGGCACAGCTGTTGGGGCAGCCTTCGATGGTGCAGTGCTTGCCATTCCATCCAGTTACGCAGAGACAAGTTCCGTTCTTGCACTGGCCGTGCTCGTTGCAACGACTATCGCACAGCTTGGTGTTGCAGTAGTCGCCACCCCATTCCGGGTCGCAGGCACAGGCGTCGCCCTCGCAGCGACCGTGCTGGCCGCAGTCGAGGTCGCACAGCTCCTTGGAGCAGTCGTCGCCACTCCACTTGGTCTCGCAAGTACAGGTTTGGGTGTCCAGATCAAAGTTGCCATGACCCGAGCAGTCGGGCAGGCATTGAAGTGCGTCCTGGTCCATGGTGGCGCAGTCAGTGCCCTTCCAGCCCTTCTTGCAGATGCAGGTGCCGTCGGCGCAGAAGCCATGTCCTGAGCAATTGGGATGTGGGCAATCCACTGAGGAGAGTAAAGAATAAAATTAGTCGGAATTGAATTGAATTGCTAGGGGTTGGGGACAGRGGAATGTCTTCGGATTAACTGGACTACTGGGGTCTACCTTCTTCGCAAAATTTGCCCTTGTAGCCGCGCATACACTGACATTTGCCGCTGACGCAATGCCCATGCCCATTGCAATCGGCCACCTCGCACTCGTCGTGGCGCAGTGAGCACTCCTTGCCCTTCCAGCCCGGATTGCAAATGCACTCGCCATTGATGTACTCGCCATGCTGCGAGCACAGCACGGGGCAGACGCTCTCACTGCAGTCGTCGCCTCCGAAGCCGGGATTGCATTGGCAGTGTCCCAGCAGGCACTGGCCATTGCCGGAGCACCCATTCGGGCAGTTCTGCGTCATATCTTCTGCTATGGCTGCATAGAAAGTCAACTCCTGCACATCCCCATCGTCGTTGTAGAGCGAGACGAACCAGTGCCCCGGCTCCATATAGCGAGTCACCTCCCGAGTTATGGAAAGCTGGCGGCGGCAAGCAAGCGCGTGAGCGGTCCGCGATAAGTTAATGTGTGGTGTGTGTGTGTGTGACGCATGACGTATGATTAGGTGGTCCATGAAATGCACATAAAGTGAAATTCGTTAGCTGAAGGTTAGTAGACATAGACCCGGGTAGTTACTTACGTGTGCTGCACGTGAGGTGCGGGTGCTGGCGCTGAAGCCACTGAGAACCTCTTTGAAATGGTATTGCGTGTGCGTGGGCAGCGCGTTGCGACGCCCGTACACCCCAATGGATGCACCCCTTGGAATGGTGTAGTCGAACTTGACATAGGCCGGTTCGGATTGGTAGAACTGCATATTCCAATAGCTGTACGGCTGTATTTCCTTCGTTAGCTTCTGACCCAACGTTATCTGGCCAAAGGTAGTGCCATCTGGCGGAAAACTACGCGCCGGGAAAGTGCGAGCACCTGGCGAAGCGAAACAGGCGATGCGACAAGAGTGCGACATTTGCGTGGAGTGATTGGATGATGAAAAACAAAGCACAAACAATTCACATTTGGGTTAATAAGTAAGTTAATAAGTAATAAGTAATTTATATATAAATGGAATGAGAATATGTTCGGTAAAGTACTTAGATACATATATGGACAGAGGGCTCTTATGATATAATGATGCGATCATAACCATCTAGATCATTAGGTGATTCGGATTAATTTTTATATATCACACATCTAGGGTTGCTTATGTGTCGGCTTTCTCGTTAGTAGATGAGGATGGTCGTTATGCAGCCAGCCAGATGTTGGTGCCACGGTTCATGCTCGAAGGTTTTTTGTACAGATGCGGGAATAATTGGGGATTGTAATGTGATTATGGTTTGTATTATTAGAATAGCCTAGGCAGTTATAAACTGTATTGCGTCTACTATATACTGTTATTTGACGGTCGGGTTAGTGTTAAGCACTTAAAGTGAGGTTAGCATCGATAGCAGATAGTACAATCACCTTCCAGTATGAGTATAGGCATAACATCGGGGCATGCAATCTTTTCACCACCAAGCACATCAGAACTAGTATCAGAAGCGGCAATGTTGTTATTAGTGTCAGTGGTAGGAAGGTTAGTAACGGTGCTGTCAGTCAGGCTTTCCACCTGCTCGTTATCACTCGAATCAAGCTGATGGCTTAAGAGAGTAGCTTCTTCTGCATGCGGTGCCGCTGTCGACGGGACGGCAGAGTCAATGTCAACCGGGCTGTTGTCGTTGTCCGCGAAAATTAGTGGCTCCGGGGGCAAGCAGCTGCAGGGGCAATCGGGCATTCGGGGCGGTGGCTCAAACACACACGAGCCACCATTATCCAAATTGTTGTTTTCATCTCCAGCCATTCTTTCGTGGGTCAGCACCTGCTCGACGTTATGGGGTCCGTCGCCGGTCGGCACCTCAACATGGAGCGTATAGACGGAGGCGCTGTCGCCCTCCGTGGCAATGGTCAGATTTACCAGAATGCGCTTACTGGGCCGATCAATGCGCTCGCTAACATAAGGTTTCAGTGGTGTCAAGCGTGCCGGCAATACACCATCTTGATCTTTAAACACCTCGTTCTCACTCGCTGGCGGAGGCTGGTGCGGGCTTGGTTTGGCTTGCTCAACGGCCGTCTTGTAAAGGTTAGCTTCATTGGAGCTGGGCGTTTCGTCTAATTTGACTATATCGATGTCGCCATTATCCAAAAGTGCTGCATCGCTCAGCATTAGGTCGGACACCGTTTGATTTATTCTCTGCGGGGGTAGCCGCCCCTTATTGTTGTGCTCCTCGTTGTTATCAAGTAAATCACGCTCATTATTGTTATCATTAGCGGCAGGTTTCTGCTTCGCTTCAGCTTCAGCTTCAACTTCAACTTCAGCTACAGCTGCAGCTGGAGCTTGTGCTTGTGCTTCTGTATTCTGGTTGATTTGAAAATCATTTTCAATAATGGAGACGGTTGAGGACATCCTCCCATTCTTTTCGGTGGTGTCGATTTCAACAACGTCATCGTTGTCACTTTCTGACGTCGTTGTCAGCGCGGAACCCTCCACGCTCACGCTGATGGTGCTGTCAGTTTGATTATAGTCATCAATAACAGAAGCAACACTGCTTGCCTCTGTATCTGACTCGACAGCGTTGCCATCGATGGTATCGCCAGTCTCGGCAAGCGGCAACTTCCGTTGGGGTTTGGCAAGCATTTTACCTGCTTTACGCAAATCGCCGTTTAATGATTTGCTAAATTGTTGCCTAGTCTTAGGCACTGGCCGCTCTGTTGTCTCCTTCTTTGGCTCGTCTTCGCTTTCATCTTCATACTCATAGTCGCTGATGTCGTCGTCTATGATGGCATCTCCTTCGCTCTGCTCAAGTTTCAATATTTGATCGATTTTGTGCAAAGTTTTATCGTAATTGCTTTGCTGGGCACCCAAAGCGATGACAGTTGGCTCCCTGGGCCGCTGCATGCTAGAAGATTGGGATGCTGGCGTCGTTGTCAAAGCTAAATACTTTTGTGCATGAACTCCAGTTGCTCTTGTAATTAAGTCGCTAAAAGTTTCTGCAGGCAAATCATCATCATCGTTCTGCCCCCRCTGCCAGTCCATTAAACTTCTTTCATTGCGGCGTCGTTTGTTTCCATCCTTGTTGACAGACAGCCGTGTTGACACTGCTCTCGTGCCTCCTTTACTTGCTACGGTTATGTGGATGAGCGGTTGAGAGTTAGAGTATTACCTTGCATTACCTTGCCCCACTGTGGTTAGCAACTACATCTAGACACCCCCAATAGGCCTCCACCAGGCAACTCCACTACTTTTGCCTTATTTAAGCATAAATTCTACTCTTAAACCATTGTCAAGATTCCAGGCAGAATGAATTTTCATAAATGTGCGTGGGCTAAGTTGACAGGTTGTTTAGCCTGTCACCAACTACCAGCTGTGTCGATTAGAACCCGGTTATATATGTATATTTATATACGCGGAGCGAGAGAGAGAGGCAGCCGGAAAAAAATGTCAAAGGAACATAGGAAGTAATACAATGCGGGGGTACGTCAACATTTGACAGCTTAATTGCCAAATGTGAAGTGTCATGTGTGCACTCTGACCTAAAAATACATAGCACAAAATCCGAAAATCAAATCCACTTTCGCTGGCTAAGCAATGAATTATATGCTGCGGAATAAACCAGAGCGTTTTAAATTTGCTGACACTTTGACAACACATTGAGAACGGGACAAAATAGAGAGCGGCTATGGCTTTTTGTACGTTTAGAAGGCTTGCGGATGTACATATTGACATGGATTGAAGATTAAGACCCCTGTTAGAGCATTTGATATAGTGACGGCAGTGATATGGGTAAGTGCTCAACTACAATTAACTATTTCGCCACACATGCCAAATTTTACACACTGAGAGAATGGTTTGATTGCTGAAGTAGCTTAGGCTGACCACCGACTCTGTGTTACTCAGAAGAATCATCCCAGCTCTTTTTCTAGCCGTTGGTCTCCGCGTCTTGCTGTCCGTTTTGGTATGTAATTAGTTCGGATTCAGCGTTGACTATAAATATCTGAGCGTCAAACGAACAAAGAGTGAAAAACTTGCTGCTAGAAATCTATAAGCGCCTCCCGTAAGCGCTTAATACGTCTCTCTTAATAGACCTCTTTTTAAGCCTTCTCTCTCGCGCGTTTAGTTCTTTTTACTTTCGTACTTTTGCGAAACTTACGGAAACTCATTTAAAAATAATTAAAACTTGTGCATAATTACCTCCATTATTGGCATTTGCCAAGGATGAGGAGAGGGAGGTCGAAGGCGCCAGCGACGAAGACGAGGAGGACGTTGCCGTGGCGGCCGCTGCCGAGGAGGTGGCCTCCGCCGAGGTGGATGTCGACTGCAGTCCTTGAGCAGTGCCGCTGTTCGATGTGGCCGCTGTGACGGTCGCCGTGCCGCTACCGCCTCCAGCCTGTCCCTGAACGATTCCTATGCCTTGGCCATTTTTCGCGCGTACCGATGCATTGTGCAGCTTGGATAAATCGGTGTTGGTGCTCTTGGCAGCCGTCACCTCAGAGACCTCGTTGCCGACTAGAACAGGGCATGGTTCTGACCCTGACCAGCGCAGAGTGCCGGACAGCGTCAGGCCGACCATCAGGAAAAATATTACAGCCAGGACCACCATCATGGCGATGCTGGCCCAGTTGCATTGGCCCGAGCAGCGCTCGGCCAGGTCCTTGCGGTAGTTCATCGGCGCCGAGTAATGATGCGTAGGCATCCCGTTCATGCTCCTTGGCGGCAGCACCGGGCCCATGCAGCCTTGCGTGCTGCGCTCGTAGCCGCCCTTCAGCGTGTCTTTTGTGGGTGTGGAGCAGGCTGATCCGCTTTTGTAGTCGATGGGTGAGCCCTTATTGATATCTGTGGGAAAGAGTAAAGGGAAGGAACTGCTATTAGTCTACTGGGTTCAGTACAACCAAATATAAAATATTACACCATGCTCAAAATGTTTTCATTTAAATCAAATAGTATTTTGCGTTGGCAAAGCGGGGAGCAAATAGTCTGTTGGTCTCGTTGGTAATTCGACTGTCGACACAATTGTGTTTTGCTTATCGTTCTTTGGTCCGAATTTCATTTGTGTAAAAGGATTTGCACAAGGATAACAAACTGACATTCAACATAACCTCAAACAAACGTCGACAGAACTCAGCAAAAGAAATAACAAAATGAAAAAAGGGAATCTGCGAGCAGCTGAATAGCAGGGAAAGTGACCAGCGTCAATGACGTTGGCAATACCAAAAACAACAAAAACGTTAAAAACGAAAGAGAAAAAAGGAGTTTCAATGCTGCCACGTTATTTTCGACACTTTCGTCCTGTTAGGGATAAACGCCTTTAAAAATCCGATGTTCTGCTAAATTTGTGTACGAATATAGGAAAATGTTATTGATTCTGGCATTAATTAACGATGACCCTATGTAAGTAAATGTGGGAGAGGAGAATTGGTTTAGCTTGATCGGAAATCTTCCTTTCGAACTCTCAGTTGACGTAGAGTGTCCATACATATAGCAGACGGATGGCAGTGAGTACAGAACTGATGCCAAAAAAGAAACTCGCCCTGGGGACGTCTAGACCCACGACAGGACATTTCCAGGAGGGTAAATGGCGAGCAGTAGCTGGATAAATAGAAATCATTTGTTGACGCCATGATGATAATTCGATTATACGACGGGTGCTTAAACAGAGCCCAGGGAACAGTAATGTGGTCGATACGGAAATGAGAATGTGCTCATGTGTGTGGCCAGGGACATTTGCAAATGGAATGTGAGCCAAAATTGAATATTTTGAGGACGTTTCACCTCGCTTTGTCAAAGCAGGCATCAGTAGAAAATATTTGTTCATCGCTTCAGCTTTAAGCTGATGCAAATATGATGGGCTATGGCACTCAGTCCAAAGTAAGAGTCGATGAAATAAGTTTCCCGACCTCAGTATCTCAGATTCAGCTTTAATTACGCAAGAGAAAAGCAAGCCTAACGAGTTTATTGCTTACTCTATAAGTCGAAAATGAAACACCCACGGCTGAGCACATATGCTTTTAATGCCTAGGCGTACGTATTTATGGTCATGCGTAGGTGTATTCTACATTCGTTTGATTACTGAGCTAAGAGGGAGAGAGAGAGAGAGCGAGAGAGAGAGACAGAGAGAGAGAGAGAGAGAGAGAGAGAGTAATGCAATTCCCAGCTAATATTCCTCTTGCCGATAAAATTCATTTGTATGTGGGTACGTTTGTGTGAACGAGTTAAAGAACAACGAGGAAACGAGCAAACGGGAATGGCGACAAATCCAGGCGAGCATAGTTCGGTTGGGTAACCCAAAATGGATATAGTCAAAGCATTTCCAAAATGGTTGAGTTGAGTCACCCCCTCCCCTTCTGCGCTGCTTCGTCCGACAGTCTGTCTGCCTGTCCGTCTGCCTTCTGTGTGCGATGATAGCGTGAATAATGTCTGCGTCATTTTTTACACATGTGTGTGTGTGGGTGGTTGGGTGGTTGAGTGGTTGCTTGCTTGTCTGTGCATTAAAGCTGCCCACTATAAGCTTTTATAGGATGTATATATGTGAGATTTATTTAATGCCAAGATTCCTGCATTTGGGCTAGGGTGAGTTTTGTGAGTGCTGATGAAGGAATGCATAAATATCCATAGATCTGCAGAGGCACTTGTATTAGGGAGCGAAGGTTAAGCGGTTTGCCTCTCTCCAAGCTCGACGCCCACGTTAGGGGCGTGCCCTTTATAGGGGGCTATTTTTATGACCGAAACGTGCTGCGACTCGGGATGTCTCTGTGTGTGTGCATATTTATATATGTGAATAATTAACGAACGCATAATAGCAGTCAGTAGTCAGCAGTCGGTGCTGGCAATTGCGGAAATAAATTCAAACAAGTTAATGGGCATTGGGTACTTTTAAAAAACGGGATACTAAAGTGGGAGCACACTGATAGCTCTTTGGACGAAAGTGCCACTCGCAGCTGGCTCATTAAATAAATGGCCGGAGCGGTAAAGCTGACTTTCCATTTATCGATTGAATGGGTCAAAAGCAGCTAACTTATCAGCTGCTCGAGTTGAGTTGTCAATGGCAACGGCTTAGCTGGCATCCACGATGTGCTAGCTTTGAGATGATGCAAGAACTCGATTCCCTTTATCTCTTACATTGCTATTGATCAGTCAAGACAGACTGTGGACGAGGAGTGAGAGAGACAGCGACAGGGGGAGGCTGTGCCAGAGAGAATAGAGAGTAGAGAGAGTCCTATCATTATCTATTTATTTAATTGCATTTATAATTTCATAAAATATATGTATATATAGCTTGACAGGAGAACAGGCTGACGTTCGTTGAGCTCGTTGAGCCTGTGGCGATTTTATGAACCCAAAGCAAATCGCTTAAATTAAAGCAACACGCAAAGAGGGCCCAATAAAAATAGTGTGGCAAACGCAGCTGCCAGTAATGGTTATTGTATAATGCGCACATCATGCGTGTGTATGCGTGTGTGTGTGTGTGTGTGTGTGTGTGCGTGTGTAAGAGTGTAAGTGTTTGTCACAACCCCTGGGCCACAGTGAAGCCAACAAGCTGTCGCATTTATGCCGTCCTCCTCCGCCCATCCTACCCCCACGAGTTGCCCACAAGCCCAAATGAGATTTATGCTGCGTGCAATTTAACATTTTTAATAATATTAAAATTACAAATTTATATTTTATGTGCGCGCCACTTGGCAAGGTGTTGCTGTAGTCTAATAAACACTGTGCTGCACTCAGTGGCAGTTGTTGTCTTTCCCCATAAAATGATCTCCCTCCCTCTCTCTCTCTCTCTCTCTCTCTCTCTGCTTGTCTTTCGATTTCCTCTAAGTGATGAGAGGCTGAGGCTTATTTTATGGCTGAAACGAGCTGGACTCGGACTTTAGTGAAGCGCACTATCGCTGGTCCGAGCAGTTAGAAACCTTTCCGTTCGTCAATTGTGTGCTAAGTACTTTTGAGTAATTGCAAAGCTCGCTCAGTGCCCAAGTGAGCCTGACTAGCGCCAATTTGAATAGTCGTTAATGAACATTTGCTAATATTTTAAGCACTAAAAGAGAGCCATAAATTACTCCCTGACTGCCTGCCTAGCTAGGCTGGTCGCTCTGCGAAGCGTCGAGGCGTGCGACAATCAAATAAAAGTACATGAAAAACACATAAAGGGGTTCTTGGTTAGGTTTTTTGCTTTTTTGTTTGTTGTTTGTTGTTTCTCGCTTTTAATGGTAAAACGCGACGATTTCTCGAAACAAACAGGTGTATGTGTTCAGGGGAAGCACGCGAGGGGCACATTTCGAGGCGAAGGAAGTTCCCGCCATGTTGGTAATGGAGTTTGCGAACAAACATGGCCGCCGGAGAAAAATCACATAATTTACACGTTTGCATTTAAGTATTAAGTGGGCAGAGCTCGTGGGTAGGGGAAACAGTGGAGGGAGGGGCGTGGCAGGGGGTGTGGAAATCAGGCGAATGGTAAAGTGTTTCGTTAACTTTTGCTGTGTTTGTGCGCAAAGCTCAGTAACTGTGTGTGTGTGTATACGAGTATGTGTGTGTGGGTGTGTTTGGTGTTGTGTAAAGGAATTTAGGCATGTAGGACGATTTTGGGGCTCGCCATGTTGTTGGATTTTATGTGCGGAGGAAGCAATTTCGGATCGACTTTATTGCCCCCGCCGTCGCAGAGCTGATGTTGATTTTAAAGCGTTTAATGGCCGCGTTTTATGTTGTGGAAATTGAAAAAGAAAACAGAGACAGACATGAAGATACAAATTTACTTTATACACAAAGTGTTCGGAGCTTAAGAGATTTGCACAAGCGTGGAAATGGGTTGAAGTCGTCTAAAGGAGGAGGAGGGGCAAACGTTGACATACGAGTTTATGATGGATTGATAAAGTGAGGCGAAGGCAGCCAGAGACGATTGTTAGTTGGGTGAATCGAGGCGTATGCCCAGACGTAAGCCCCATCAGCTTGGGCAATTGAAATCAGTAAATTTACGGTTTTCGAGGGAAACTGTCTTTCATTTCCAGTACATCCAATAATCCGTTTTCTGTAATTTCGATGCTTTGGGTGTGTAGCATTTTCCGAAAGGTCGAGGGATCCATCAAGTGCCTTCTCCGCCTCTGGCATAATCAAAAATTCCATTATAAACTTTAAACTCATTACGGAATGTTTAATGTGCACTCAGTTCGCGTTGTGCCTGTTGTTGTTACTGTTGCTCTACCTGTACAATAAATCAACAACAATACGAAAAGGAATCAACAAAAAATTGCAATTTGTTAGGCCGGAATAGACAAGAAGAAAGACAATAGCAATAACAATGACAAAGAGGACGGCATGGAGCTCGCAGCGCCTTTAAGGTACGGCAACCTGTCGACATCGACGCACGTGAGTCGCAGTCCCAAAAGGGTCGTAGTCCTCGCTATTCGCTCCTCGCTTCTCGCTCCTCGCCCCTCAGCTCGCGCCATATTGTTTTAAACAGGCTGCGCACAACAGGAGGCCCACTAATCAAGTGTGTGTGTGTGTGTGTGTGTGAGTGGGGGGTAGGCGGGTGCTTCTGCTGTATTAGCCTTTAAGCGCAGAATACTTTAAGGCAGACACTGCTTTTTTATTGGAGTGAGGGCAAAAAGTTTGAGCACGATTTGCATGTAAATTAATTGCCTTTGCCTCGAACTGTCGCCGTGTGCGCCTTTAGCAGTGCTATACGGTTTTTGGCGGAGTATTTTACGAGTCCAAAGCCACCCTCGCCTCGAGGCGAAGACGGAGACGGAGACGAAGACGCCAGCGCCCACAAGATAAGTCGTATAAATTATAGCAATTTAATAAGTTTTAAATATACGCATCCGGCTGGCTGGCTGGCTGGCTGGCTG